TATGGTGATTGATAACTTTCAAAGCACTTTTCACGTACATTTTCTGATCTGACACCCAACAACCCAGAAAGCTAGGCTGTATTATTTTTCATCTGCTTTCTAGGAAACTAAAGCTTAGAGAGCTTAAGTGACTTGACTCAAGACCACCAGCTAATAATTGGCCAAGCCAGAATTCCAGCCTGGGTTTATCCAGTTGCTATTTCTGTATCATTTCCAAACCGACTTTCCATGGAAAGCAAATCAAAGAGGCAGAAAATCTGGGGAGAAAGAGAAGAGCTACAGTGATAACTGAAAGCGGACTGGAGTTGTGCATGCAAATCGCTGTATGTGGGCAAAGGATAGGAAATCCTTTAACTATTATTTTTCATTGAGATGAAGCTAAGATGAGCAAAACTCTATTCTTATCATTTGAGGCATGCAACCAGACACTCGAAAGAAAGAAAAATACTAGGCTGGTACTGAGGTGCCCCCTCGATACCCCCCACCACCATCCCACCATTAACATTGTCTTCCAGTGGAGGAAGTCATCTTTTTCCTTTTTTTGAGTTTGTGGCTGTTGTGTCATCTCAGACATTCCAGCTACTATAGCTGCTGTGGCTAGGGAGATATCATGGATTCCTTCATGGTTGCTCCAGGGATTCCTTAGAAGTTTGTGCTAAAAACAATGAGTGTCAGATGGCTCAAGAGGAGGTGCCTCTCATGGTTCTGCTGCTGACACAGCCCTAGGAGTAAGCTTTACAGGACTCAGTAGCCTAATGTTATTTTATTAGCCCTGCTGTGTCATGGCTCTCCTAAGAGCCCAGTCCAATGGTAGCATATACATGAAACCTCAGATCCCAAAAGGACCCTCCTTACAACTGACACATAGCACAGTCCTGTCACTTAATAAATGAGATAGGTGACCCAGAGAAAAGAAGTTACTGCAGTCGTTCCCACATTGGACTGCACCTTAGAATCACCTGGAGAACTTTTAAAACCGCAGTGCCCAAGTGACACCCCACACGAATTAAATCCCAATGTCTGGGGTGAGAACCAGGCAGTACTATTTTTTTTTTAAAGACCATCCCCCTCCACTGATTCCAATGTGTAACAGTATGGGCAAATGATTTGTCTAAGATCATACAACTGGGGACAGGAAACCACCATGGTTTTTAGCCAAAACTGACCCTTGTCTTAGGACATTTTGAGATAGAAGGATGAGTGGATGTAGTGGAGCAAATCCCGTAATTATGATGTGCTGGACAATTTCTATTATTTTACCTTCCACAATTACCCTTCAAGGTGGATACATTAGCCCCAGTTCACCATGAAGAATGCTAGTGTGTTTTCATTTGGCCTGTGAGTCCTCGCTAAATGCAGAAGGAGCCCTCTGGAGACTGCCTTGGTAGGGTCTCCAGGGGAGCTCGCTCCAGTCGTGGAACATGCAGTAACTTTTCAACACGTGTTTATGGAGGGTCAGGCATTGTGCTAGGCTGTGTGGATAAAATGATGGTAAACAAGGTATATGAGACTCTGCCTTTCCGCACTTGTCAGCTAATGAAGGACCCAACAACATAACTCAACAGTTCCATAATTGTAGGGTTCAGGCTGTGATGGACACTTGTTTCCTTTGTTTTCACTGGGCTTTGTTTCTTCAAGAGGATTGTGGCAGCAAACACACACATAATGAAGTTGTTAGGATATAAATAAGAAACAGAAATCAGGGGAATATATAAATAAGAGTAGAGAGTCAAGAACAGAAGAAGAAAAATTCATAGTTATGCAAGTCATAAGGATCCACTTGGGCTGAACCTCAAATTTGGCATTAAGTATCCTGGCAGCCACGTTGAAAAGGGAAACATGGTTGGTTACAAAGTTCTCATTGTCAGAAAGAAAAAGAAAACCAGTTCCTCAGGGAACAGTTAGGACTTTCCTAACACTTGGCTGTTGAGGAAATGTCTCAGGTGGAGCTTTATACAGTCTCTAACATACCTATGGAGACTACAAAAATAGATTTTGTCAGACAGTGCCTTGTAGCACCCTGCAATAAAAGAATATAAAACTAAAATGCAATTTAATCCATTTCTGTCAGGAGTAGGTGGTCAGAAGTAAGCAGACTGGGGCCAAATCTAGTCGAGATAAATCTATAGCTAGAAGCTGGAATACCCAGGCAATGAAGGGACTAGGCACCCTTACCACAGTCTTCATAAACACAATTTCTCTCTGAGATTTTGATAAGGCAGATGGTTATATTTTCTATTTTCTAGTGTAGGGCTGAAAAGTAAGTACTTTATGTTGTAATAAAGTAATGGTTTATGTCAGGGGTCAGCAAACATTTTCTGTAAAGGGCTAGATAGTAAATATTTTAGGCCTTGTGGGCGAGATGGTCTCTGTCACAACTACTAATCTCAGCAGCCATGGACAATACATAAGTGAATGGGCATGGCTGTGTCCCAATAAAACTTGACTTATAAACAGATTGCAGGTCAGATTTCACCAATAGGTTGTGTATTGCCAACCCTCGGTATAGACCAAATAATAAAAGCAAAATATATTACTGGTGTTCTTTTGTTGAAATTCAGGAACAATTAGACTCTTGGCAAGTCTTGGTCAGTGGTAACTTTGGCCTTATTGTTTAATTGAAGTTGATGATGATACATGATAGGAAGTACACGGCTCATGTTTGGGTTGCAAATTCATTAAGTTCATTTAAGGAACATGCAGATACCAAAGCAATCCAATACAATTATTCACACATCAAAGGGGCACTCAAGCCTGAAAACTGGGATTGTTGCAGAACAGAACTAGGCTGGGCTGGGTCTAAAAAACCTTTCATTCCACGTGGAGAGGGAGAATTGGGCTGCTCCTCACCTGGAATGGACTCACAAAGCAACGCAGATTCTTAGTCAAGATCTTATGGTTGGTTTCCGAGCAAAGAGGGAAGATGTTGGACTATTTCCAGTAGGCTGATGTGTGTTATACATATCTTTATCATCTTTCAAGAGCAAAATGTATTCCAGGTTACCAGATGTAGATTCCAACAATCTTCTATGAGTGTGACATGTAGTACAGCCAAAGATGTTATAGCTACCTTGAGGAGAAAAAAATAAGATTCATCGTAAAGAGGCTTAGAAATGAGCAGATAACACATGTTGATCGTTTGTAATGACATGAATTCTTAAATACCTCCCACTGGCCATGAACTAATCCGGGAGACTAATTGTGGAATGGGAACTATGTAAAGGGTGGAGTCTGGGAGATCATCAGAAGAGGTGACCCCACGTGATTTGAAATCTGCAACAGAAGGTGGATTAAGACCTCAGCCTTTGATATGGCTTTAATCAGTTTTTGGATAATCTATAGTTCTCAGTAGTGAGTTACGTACTCACATGTCCCATATTTAGTGACAATGGAAGTGTAGGTTTACACATAAATAACACCTTCAAAAGAGTTTGTAAAAACATGGCTGTGAACACAACTGTGGAACCTTTGGGGCTTTATTGTCAGTTTGAGTGTAATTTGGTTCTGGATAGTAGGTAATTGGTTCATTTTCTCCACTTGGGATTCTGTAACTATTAACCTCACCAGTAGCATAAGGTGGTTAGGAAACTGTTTGTTTGTTGTAATAAACTACTCTAGGCTTATGGAGGGCAAATACTGTCTCTATCTTTACATACCCAGGACTTAGCCCAGTACCTAATCCATAAAGCCCACTCTAAAGTGTTTGCCCAATAAAAGAATCCTGGATAATATCATCCTGTTTGCAAAGTCAGTAGTGTAGAGTGATTGATTTCCAGTAAGCAAGATAGCTTCCTTCTGTTACACAAATTGTAGGAGACATTGAACCACTCCAAAAGAAACTAAAGCTTTTTGTTTGGGGATTGGAACAAAATATGCCTACAAAACTTAAAAAGCAGAAAACCATTCAGATAGAACCATAGTGCTCCTGTGCAGAGATCAGCAGGTGGGGTAAGGAACTGGCAGTCAGATTTATGCAGCAGATATAATATGCATGTATTTTTAATGACAGCTTATTCTTAACAAGCAAAATTTGAGGCAATAAACGTTTCAAGGATAAATCACTTAGAGAAAATGATATCAAAGTCGCCGGAGACATCTATGTTTTCAGAAGTAACAAGTCACCAGACGTATTATTTTGTTCCTTCCTCTTCCTTCCCCTGGCCCCTGCCAATATACTATTTACAACAATTACTTTATCAGTTGTTTTAGGAGAACACATTTCCTCTAGCAGATGTCACTGTATGATCTTGTGGTCATAATTTTAAAATATCTGTGCCTCTGATAAGAAGAGATACATAGAGAGTGGGGATGTTCTGAGCCAAAACCAAACCAATACTAACAGGTGCGGCCACAGCTCTCTGTCCCCGCCTAGCCCACGCTGGTGGCCAGGTCTTACAGGTAGGTAGGAAGGAGTGAGCCAAGAGGAGGTGTCCACAGCAACCCTCAAAACCCAGCTGAGGCCCAGCCCTGAGCACTTCACTGAAGGTTCCATTGCTACCAGAGGATGTGGGAATGAGGACAGAAACAGAAGATGAACTTAAAGCAAAGTCTCACATCCTATGAGGGTCACCTTACTTAACATGGGTAATCTGTCTCACCATAATAGATAAATTGCCTACCCCCATTGCATCCAGTAGATTTATGAGGGATGAATTTTGGCCCCAGGAACATTTATAGAATCTCATTCTATCCTTGTTACCTCCACTTCTGATTCCAGAATCAGACCAAGGGAACTTGAGCATCTGTTCATAGTTTTGTTCCTAGCCGTCCAACATTAACCACAATGCAACGGAAATAGGATAAAGAGACAAATGCATAATCTTAAGCAGCTTTTAGGTTCATCACACTATGCTACTTGGGTATCAGGAGTCACTTATAAATTGTCATGACCCTGATTGTGTCTAGATCATAGAATCATGCTGACTTCCATAGTGGTGTTAATTGTCATTACCTGTGCATTTATTTGTTTGCTGATCCATTCTGGATGTTCTTGGTCTCAGGGCCTGAGGATCATTTTCTCGGATGCAGCCCGGCTCATCTTCCGGCTCAGCTCCTCTAGCGGCGTGCGGGCCACCATCAGACTGTATGCAGAGAGCTACGAGAGGGACCCCAGCGGCCATGATCGGGAGCCACAGGTACGAAAGCAGAGCTCTTTTCTCAGCTTGTGTGTTTCATCGCTTCTGGCAAATGTCGAGCTCCTGGGGGCCTTGAGTGGGGTGATTTTACCTCCTGGAAGTAAAATTGATAGCTTCAGCTGAGGGGCACGCTTAGCGCGATTTCAGGCATATTTCATTCATTCACTGCAGTGTTAGAAACAGAGAAGTTGCTCTCTAGCGTCTATAATGAGTTTAGATCAGCATTTCCCAAACAACTCCCTCTCTTGACTGTTAAGCAATTTGCTGATTGGGGTGACAGTAAAGAAAAGACACCTTGTATAGACAAGTTAAGGAAATTTGGAGTTAGAGTCAAACTGGTTAATCTCAGAGCCTTGACTATGCGTGTGTAAATTTTGAATCTCCAGGTATTTGGGAAACTCTAGGTTGACCATGGCCATCAGGTGCCACTCTAGATGCTATGCTGGGCTTCCTCCCTGAGACTGCTCAGAGCCCATCATGAGGAGAGGGGCTGCTGCTGGCCTGAATTTTAAGTCAAGGGCGGGCACCAACAAGGCTGGGCCAGCCTGTGTTTGGCAAAGCCCCTTCGTGTCTTCAGCAATAGAGTTAATTAAGATTTTTCACTCAGAAAAATCATAAATAGCACAACTATAAGCCTCCACTCCATATTGTATACAACATTAATATCAGAAAGGACCTGCTCTAACGCTGGGCTCTTCGAGCTACACTGCTGGCCACTCCTGCCTCCCTGACCTTCACTGCACTCTGGGTTTTGAAGCAGGGTCCTGGATGAGATGATTTCTTGAGATGAAAACATTGGTTCCGCCAGCAACACTTTTGTGGAAAAGTAGAGAAACAAATATTCACTGCTTCTCATTTTAGAGTTGCTCAGAATTTCCAGCTGTAATTTGCCCTGGACGGAATAAGAAATCAGGGAGGATGTTCTTTCTTTGTGGGTATTTTAGTGGTTTTTTCATGGTGTCTTTGTTTGGAGAGTCTCAAAGAACTTGGTAATAATGATGCCTTAATCCTTACACCTGACCTTATAACCAGAAGATCTGTCTGGGGTAAAATTATCCCAAATGGGGAAGTAGAGTCCTGAGAGACTGAGAGCTGTTCTCAGGGTCACCAGGGGTGTGAGAGGGCACAGCAGGTGCCAACATAGAGTCCTTGGCCCTTCCTCTCAGGATCACAGGCTTTCCATGCAGGCGATGGGCTATGCTCTGCCAAAATAATTTGGTAGTGAGTACATTTTGCCCAAGATAGTACCAAATAATGCAAGAATTGGAGGCTTACCCTTTCTTTCCGAATAAAACTCTTCTCCATCCTCTGTTAGGAAGGGAGAACTTAAAGCAAGGTTCTGAAAGTCCAGAGCTACGCACAGGGTGAGGAATGATATTCCTGGCTTCTCCAGCTCTGACTCACTCTGACTTGAGACTATTTTTTCTCAACATTCTTTTCCCTATTTGCACAGGGTAAGTGCTTATGATATTTGCTTATTTTTATTTACCTTCCATACTGGACTGAATCCAGGCTGTTAGACATGTGTGAACACAATCCTATGCACAAATGAGTCTCTCACCGAGGTGGCCCACGAAAGCAAAGTGGTGCTTTTCTTTAAGGTTTCGTTTGAAGCTGAAACCTCCATAGGCTGGCTCTCAGAAGGTTGTGTGGGTAAAGAAAACATAAATAATGCTTGTTTTAGTCCTCATTACTGTGCATTTTCCATCCTGTTGGTTTGAAGAGTTTGCCAATTTGAATGGTTGGGGAATTCTTTCACTGGTATTGCTCTTTTTGATGACAGATATTCCCTTTCTTTTGAATCATAAGCAAGAATGTTTCCAGACCAGGTTAGGCAGGCCTCAGAGTATTTAGCATATCATGTTAACTAAACAGTTTACATTAAAGTAGATCTCCTTATTAAAATATCATACATTATTGACTCATCACCTTAAGCCCTATTGCATAATACATTTAAGTCAAGATATAATATAGAGTGAGATTTTAAAGGAAATCTAAGAACGGAAGTAAAGAGAAGAGTCCCTGAGCAGGACCACCTGGCTTAATTACTCTCAACTCTACCTTGGCCTTTGAGTCAGAGTGTTTTGGGGCTGTGTTGCATTACAGCACCACCTCATCCTGCCTCAAAGAGTTCTGGAAGGAAACGCCTTTGGTTAACGATTAACAGAGATCAAAGATAAGACATGTTCCTTCAGCT